CTGTGTACATGAGCCTTAAAGATCCCTTCCTACTTTAGGGGACCAAGAAAGGGGAAAATGTCTTTATATAATTATACTCAGACTGAATTATTCCTTACATGTTAGTACAGTCAATCAAGAAAAGGGCAAAAAGTAAGTAAATAAAGTGCAAAATCTTGTGAGATGCTTGGCCAGATCTGTGATGCAAAATAACTTCAAAAATATCAATAATAAGCTATTAAAAAAAATAAAACAAAATTGTGAATTGCTCACACTATTTACACTCCCATACAAAATGTGTTATACAACATAAAACATTATTCAAGTGCCAATTTAAGCCAAACACAACCAACATAAATGTCTTTTTATAAGTGTCCATAAATTGGTATCTTCACATATGCTTCGCAGATCCATATTAGTAGCAGTACCTTTGGAGTTACTTCAATAGATACATCATACATGTGAGTGGAACCAGGGGCGGACTGACAACTTATGGGGCCCCCGGGCAGTAGGGGATCATGGGGCCCCTGTGTCCTTGCCCAAACTCAAAAAAGCCTATGAAAAAGGTACCAGGGGCATCTCATGGGGCCCCCTACTGACCCCGGGCCCTCGAGCAGTGCCCGAGTTTCCAAATGGTCAGTCCACCCCTGAGTGGAACACTGTTTTATTAATAAATGTTTTATAAAGATAAAGCACTGTATTTTGGTAATCTTTTTTTGGTATATATCTGATGGAGGGGAACAGTTAGGAGAGTGGAGGTGACCCATGCTTATCGGACATCATATAACAGTCCACAAAAGGGGCACATGCTATATATGACCTCTCTTAGCGGTTTGGTCATATACACCAGGTGAGAGCACATCCGATGGAGGTATACACACATTGGTTTGCAGTGTTTTATCGCTCCAGGTGTTTCAAGAAGTTGGTTGTAATCCAAGCATCTTTGAAAATACCAATTTATGGACACTGATAAAAAGACGTTTATGTTGGTTGTTTTTGGTTTAAATTGGAAGCAAAGCGCGATACTTGAATAATATTTTATAAAAGTAAGTAAAGCAACTAATGTCTGTTTTATATTTAAAGGGTCAGAGCAACCTGAACTGATATTTCCATTGCTGTGGTGCCTTTTTATTTCTTATGGGGACTCCAGCCATAACATACTTTTTCCTAGTTCTCTACTCTGTTCTTACCCACTTTGAAATTTTGGGACCTCCACATAATGACAATGGCAGGTCAGACCCTGGAACTCTAGAGCAGATTTCTCACCACCAAAGACCTTGGGTAATGCAAGGACCCATTGAAGGGTTAACTCTCTAGTTATTCCAAAATGGTTGAATGGAAACATTTCTTGGTTTATATAGACAGGGTGGGGTTTATTTACTAAAGCTGGAGAGTCCAAAATCAGACTCCCTTCTGCATAGAAACCAATCAGCTTCCAGGTTTCATTGCCAAAGCTTCATTGAACAAGCTGAGGTTAGAAGCTGATTAGTTTCTATGCAGAAGGGAGTCTGATTTTGGACTCTCCAGCTTTAGTAAATAAACCCCAGTGAGTCCAGAGAAAGGCAGCAGAATTGGTGCATGACTTGAGGGTTAAGACATTTCAAGAGATAATAGAAGAACTTAATATGTACAACCTCGAGAAAAATAAAAGGAAACTGGAAACAAAATTTAGTCCTTTAAATACACCAAGGCTAAATTCACAGTTCCCCATTCCTGTGCATTGTGTTAACACATGTTGCGTCATGCCATAATGTGCATTGTGTTAAGATAGCCCATTCATTTTGAGTGGCCTGCCAATGCACAGAAATGGGCCAAAGGATAGACACTTGGCATTTTTTCCAACACATGCATGAGAGCCGTGTTGTCCTAGTGTGCTGGAGTTCCCACAATGTTCTTATGCACATAACGTGTGTTGTTGTTTGCTGTAGTATTGCACGCCTATCACAAAGACACATCTCAGCCACCCTAAGGCTGTGCATAAGGTTTAGGAAGGCAGTATTTTTGATATGAGATCAGGAACATGGGGCTTGACCTGAAACTAGCAGAAGCAACGTTCTAGGGTATCATTATAAAGTATTATTTTGGAGAAAGAGAAGTGAAGTGCTTGGAAAAGGCAAAACACAGAAAACAATAAAAGGGCAAACTTTGTTGACTACTTGGTCTTTTCTTCTGTCAGTCTTCAAAAACTAAAGAGGATAGCAGAACAAAAGGGAGTCTCAAAAGAAGACAGTATTGTGTTATCTATTCCAACCTTTCTCAACTAGGGTTCCACCAGAGGTTGCGAGGGGTTCCTCGGGCAATGAACAACTTCAACCCTTTAGATAAATTTCCACAGATACCAATGATCATTTTAGATATCTGCAAGGGGGGATTTTTCCCAATGACCACAAATGTAAGAAGCATTCTCCTAAGTGACTATCACACTAGTGTACCGTGAACTGTAGATATAGTAATTATTAGCAGGGGTTCAGTGAGCCCAAAACATTATTTTAAGGGTTCCTGAGTAAGGTTGGTCTGTTTTACAAAACTTTTTTTTTCTTTTTTAAGATGGTAAATATAATATATGTATGAGTTATCCTTAGTATTTTTTTAAATAGTGTATAAAGAAATAATAGAGAAGTAATAATAACAAGAAGAAAGATAGAGATTGCTTACCTTTCAACCACACTCTTCTTTATCTTTGTTACAGATGTTGATTTTAAGTGACTCATTTATGTATTAAGCAGTTTCTTTTTTTCTTATAGCTTGATATATGTCTATTTCCTGGATATTGCATTTAAAAAAAAACTAATTTAATCAACGTGCTCTCAGCCAAGTGTGACCTTCATGACTAAACTCTCATCATCAATTACCAGAATTTCTATTGTTAATTGTGCACTGCCTAAATATCAATTAGAACTAAAAAGTCACCATGAACTTTTGTGAGAATAATGCACAAAGAGTTCAACTGAATAATTTGCACATAGAACTTGGCAGAAGAATCTGAAAACGTGGTTTATATGTGGGGAAAGAGAATCTGGAGAGATTTTACTCCTCAGGTGATCAGTCAAATCCAATATTGCTAGCCATTCCACAGAACTAAATTATAGCGAATCTGCTGGTCTAAATTTACTTGTTTACGTGTTGTTATTTGTTTACTGCACACTATATTGCCAAACGTATTGGGACGCCTGCCTTTACATACACATGAACTTTAATGGCATTCCAGGCTTAGTCCATAGGGTTCAATATTGAGTTGGCCCACCCTTGGCAGCTATAACAGCTTCAACTCTTCTGGGAAGGCTGTCCACAAGGTTTAGGAGTGTATTTATGGGAATGTTTGACCATTCTGCAACAAGTCCATTTGTGAGGTCAGGCACTGATGTCGGACTAGAAGGCCTAGCTGGCAGTCTCCGCTCTAATTTGTCCCAAAGTTGTTCTATGGAGTTGAGGTCAGTACTCTGTGCAGGCCAGTCAAGTTCTTCCACTCTAAACTCACTCATCCATGTCTTGGACCTTGCTTTGTGCACTGGTGCACAATCATGTTGGAACAGGAAGGAGCCGTCCCCAAACTGTTCCCACAAAGTAAAGTTTGAAGCATGAAATTGTCCAAAATGTCTTGGTATGCTGATGCCTTAAGAGTTCCCTTCACTGGAACTAAGGGGCCAGGTCGAACCCCTGAAAAACAACCCCATACCATAATCCCCCCTCCACCAAACTTTACACTTGGCACAATGCAGTTAGGCAAGTGCTGTTCTCCTGGCAACCGCCAAACCCAGACACGTGCATCAGATTGTCAGACTGAGAAGTGTGATTCGTCACTGGACACAGTATTCTAAATGAGGTCTAACTAAAGATCCATATAGAGGAATCAGGACCTCCTTCATCCTGTTGGTGACCCCTCTAGTGCTGCATCCTAGAATTGTATTCACTTTCCCCACTGCCTGGCCACACTGTTTGTTTATTTTGTAATTATCTGAAATAAGTACCCCCAAGTCCTTTTCCTCTGAAGTGCTTACCAACAATGTACCCCTAATGTTGTAGTCACTAAGGGAATTTTTTTTTTCTTAGATGCATTATTTTACATTTAGAAACATTGAACTGTAATTTCCACTTTTTTGACCAATCTTCCAGCCATGCCAAATCATGTTCCATGTTAAAAACACCTTCAGGGATATCAACCCTCTTGCTCACCTTTGTGTCATCAACAAAAATATGTACCTTACTCAACAAACCTTTAGTTATATCACTTATATATCATGGAGTGCTTTACACCACTGCATCCGACACTTCGCATTGCACTTGGTGATGTAAGGCTTGGATGCAGCTGCTTGGCCATGGAAACCCATTCCATGAGGCTCTCAATGCACTGTTGTTGTCTAATCTGGAGGCCACACAAAATTTGGAGGTCTTTAGCTATCGATTCTACAGACAGTTGGTGACTTCTGCTCACTACGCTCTTCAATGTGCGCTGACCCCGCTCTGTCATTTTACGTGGCCTACCATGTGACTGAGTTGTTGTTGTTTCCGGTTGCTCCCACTTTGTTATGATACCACTAACAGCTGACCGTGGAATATTTAGTAGCAAGGAAATGTCACGGATGAACTATTGTACATGTGGCAACCTATCACAGTACCACGATTGAATTCACTGAGCTCCTGAGAGTGACCCATTCTTTCACAAATGTTGGTAGAAGCAGTCTGCATGCCTAGGCGCTTGATGTTATACACCTGTGGCCATGGAGGTGATTGGAACACCTACATTCAATGATTTGGAGGGGTGTCCCAATACTTTTGGCAATATAGTGTATTTAATACCCAAAGAAATCACACTACTTCCCTGACAAAACATTAATTTTATTCTACCACGGACAGATATCATTTAGAGTCAACATCTACATCCTGGTACCTGTATAGGAGTCTTTATGTTTTTGACTGTGTGTGTAAATATTACCTCTCACCTTGAGAGCTGCCCAAATGTTACAATGTGCAGTATGAGTAATCACTGGTAAACTTCTACTGCTTAAAATTAAATTCTAGCCAGGGGCGGACTGACCATTTGGAAACTCAGGCACTGCCTGAGGGCCCGGGGTCAATAGGGGGCCCCGTGAGATGCCCCTGATACCTTTTGCATAGGCTTTTTTGAGTTTGGGCAAGGACACAGCGGCCCCATGATCCCCTATTGCCCGGGGGCCCCATGAGTTGTCAGTCCGCCCCTGATTCTAGCCTAAAGCTGACCATAGATAGATCAAAATTTGGCCTGGTTCAAAAGGGACTGGATGAATTTCGATCCGTCTATGGGCAGGCTGGTTATACAGAAGATGATCTTTCAATCAACTTCTGTACAACCAGCATCTCGTTTTTTTTTTTTTCTTGCTTGCTCAGTGCTGCCAGCTATAGCCAACTATGACTATTGTATTCTGACAGTGATAAACTTTCCCCACTGTCAGAATACAACAGCTCAGTGACAGGGATTCTCCCATCAACACAAAGTGTGTTGCAGGGGAAATAAAAAAATGCATCATCTTTGACTTGCCCAACACTAACCTTGCTTAAAATGTTCCCTCTTGCTGCCTATCCTGCCTACCCTGTGTAAACAAGATGTGTATACTTTTTTGACCATTTTAGGTCCACTCACATGATCCTGCAGCTCTGGCTCCGCTGTGTTAGTGAGTAGAGGCTGCAGGTAAGAAGAGGAAATGCCAACAAAGGCTGGGACATGGGAGTCTACACAACCATTGTGGAGCACTCCCTTCTCTCCCCTGTAGCCCCCTTTCTGGGGATCATGTGACTGGACTGGAGCTGAATAATAAATAAGTATACAGATCTTTTGTTACAAAGGTAAGGCAGAATAGGTAGGAAGAGGGGTTGGGCATGACATGTTTTAAACATAGTTAGAGTTAGGTTGGAATTGCACTTTAAGGTTGGCACTGACAACATGCCCAGGCTCAATCACATGACAGGAGATCTGGGATTTTTATTTTGTTAGCAAAATTTAGAGCATTCTTTTATTTTCTTGATTTTTATCTAAACTATTGCTGTATATTGTGACATACTGAGAGGTTTAAAAAATATTTTGCAGATAGCTGCACACTGTATAGAGTTGTATTTGGTGAAAATAAGGCAATAATTACAATATGAAGTTCACATTTAAAGCAGCTCTTTTACTTCTTTGAAAAAAAAAAAAGAATTACCTGTAAAACAAGACATTTTATTTTTACCTGTTCTGATGTGCTATTGAAATGTGCTCTTTTGAGGAGCTACAGTATGCAGTCTCAGGAATCCTTCCGGGCGTGTCAGGGCTGGCCAATTCACACTAGGTGTGATAGGACTGTGAAGCCATTCCATTGTAATCCCACCACAAGACAAGGCAAAATACCTTGTTTCTTATGTGCTTGGTTCACACCAGTGTGTTGTGGTGGTACAAGAGCAGTGTGTCCTGAAAAAGAGAGTGGCAGGCTGTACGTTTTTCAGTGCAGCACAGTGTGAGCTGATCCTCTGCCTCAGACCGCACGGCGAGCAATAGAACTTTATGAAATGTCAATATCTAACTTTTCAATAACGTTTGTTTATAAAAAAAAGTTGTCCTGCTACATCACACTGCACACCAGCTGCTGCCTTGTAAAGCAGCAGTTGGTGTGAATTGATCCTCAGGTGATTGGTCCTCAGTGGAAGTCTTTGGGTCCATCCACCAGTCCCTTTTGTCACTACTATGTCCTACAGTGATATGATATAGGTGTAGTGCCATCCTAGAGAGAAAACACACCTAGTGCATTATCCAAGGTTTATTGTAGGAGTGAAAGAATAATAAAAACATACTCACAGACGAAGCATGTATCTAAAAAGCATAGAAAAATGACAATGGCCACAGCGGCGGGCAAGGTGTTCTCACTGTCAGTGCGGTCAAATGGCTGACACGTTTCGGGGACGAATCCCTTTCCTCAGAGCTGATGACCAACCTCTGATGCTGATGTGTGATGAATGGAAAGTAAGAGCCTCGCTGCACCCCTGAAGCATTTCCTTTGGTTGTCACTGTCCTGGTACCCTTGGCTTCCCTTTTGGCTGTGCATATCCTGAGGCGCTTGAGAGTACATACGATATCCGGTTCGGTAGTACCATCCTAGTTAGACTGTAAATTTAGTTTTTTACTCCATTGCAGTCAGTGGAGTGTTATTTGATTGTTTAGGTCTGCTCAGGATTCCTAGGCTAAGAGTTTGATTGCTTCCAACTGCCTCTGGTGGAGGCTTCTTTCAGAGCATGGGGGGGGGGCAATATAAAATATTAATTATTATTATTTTGTATTATTATACAGGATTTATATAGCCTCGACAGTTTGCTCAGCGCTTTACATTAGGTGGGAGACAGTACACGAGACAGTACAGTAACAATACGATTCAATACACGAGGGGTTCGAGGGCCCTGCTCCTTGGAGCTTACAATCTAGGAGGGAGGGGATAGTGGTACAGGAGGAAATAGCTGTGGGGGATGGAGTGGTAGGAAGAGTGGAGGAGTTCAGGAATTAGCTGAGGGCGGAGTAGGCTTCCCTGTAGAGATGGGTTTTCAGAGTGCGCCTAAAGGTGAGCAGAGTAGGTGATAGTCTGATGGATTGGGGTAGGGAGTTCCAGTGGATGGGGGAAGCCCTGGAGAAGTCCTGGAGATGAGCATGGGAGGAGGAGACTAGGGAGCTAGAGAGTAGGAGGTCTTGTGAGGAACGGAGAGTAAGTTTTGGGTGGTATTTGGAGACAAGATCGGTGATGTAGTTTGGGGCAGTATTATGAACAGCTTTATACGTCAGTGTTAGAGTTTTCAATTTTATCTATTGGGAAATGGGAAGCCAGTGGATGGATTGGCAGAGAGGGGTGGCAGATACGGAGCGGTTAGTAAGGTAGATGAGTCTGGCAGCAGCATTCAGGGGGTGGAAGCCAGACTGTAGGGGATCAAGGAGGTTGTTGTCGGTGCTGTGGGAACTCAGGCGATTATAGACTAAGCTCTCTAGGAGTTTGGATGTAAATGGCAGCAGGTTAGCTGAATATTTATCATGCCCTGACCAATCTCTGGAAGGGGGCACCTAGAAGGTGGCTGGGGAGGTGATTAATGTGCAGGAGCCCTGAACAGATTGTTCCTCATCAGAGAAGGTTCAGGCACTCCTGGGGCTGCTGTCCCTAGCAGAAGGATCGGTAAGTCAAGAAACCTCTTTTGGACCTCAGCATTTGCTGTGATAAAGGCCTGAGGAGGAAAGCTAAGAAGGGAATACCTGCTAAAGGAAACTGTCTAGGAGTCCAGGTCTGAAGAAGGACTTTGTCATTTCCCTCATTAAGCATCCACTCATGTGTGGGAGAAAGCTCTAGGGCTACTGTGAGTAAAGCTCTTACTGGAGACTGATAGTTGCACAGAGATGAAAAGAGAATCAGTTGCCAAGGACTGCCCGGTGGTATACAGCTGTAGAGCTTTAGATATACTGGCACCCCTAGCTACCTCCAGAGAAGCTGCTATTGTGAGATTAGAGAAAAACCTGTTCTTTTGCTGCTGTTGCTGATCATTTTGGAGTACCCCATGATCCTAAATCTTGTCCTCCTGTTCTTCAGCAATAAATTTTAAAAGGACATCCCCTAAACTAAGTTTTAATTATCAGTATGGTGTCGTGGTTGTTGTCCTCTGTACCACTTGTTAAAACCTGTCTGTTTCCAGTGGCCCCTTCGTGGGTGAGCCCTTCCTGTGGGGGCATATGTGGGTGCTTCAGTGCTGCACATTGTAGAAGATCAGTGCAAAAGAGAGAGCTTCCATGTGGAGTACAGTGCTATAATGGTACACTTTTGGTTCTTTGGATGAAGTTACTGGAGAATGTAATGCCTCCACAGCAGTTGGCCCAGTTAGCCAAAACCCAAGGGTATCTGACAGACACAGGCATGTGATTGGTGCACAGAGGCCCTTTCACACTTGGTACAGTGAAGGGATCAGAGCATAAATGGTTTGTGTTTGCAAAGTGCCAGAAGTCCACAGCAGCAGTAAAAGCCTGGATCCATTGAGGACATTGTAGGGAGCTGCTCCTAGAGTTAACGTGCAGTTAAGACCGTCTTTAATATTAATTGGACCCTGAGCAAACATTTTCTTGGGCCCCCTATGCAATTTCACTCTCACATTACACAGGACTCCCTCTCCCATACGACTACCCCCATCATTACACATCGTTACACAGGACTCCCTCCCCTATTCTACCCCATCATTACACAGGACCCTCTCCCCAATGCTATCCCCATCATTACACAGGAACCCATCCCCCATGCCATTTTGCTCTCACATTACACAAGACCCCCCTCCCCCATACTAGAAAGAGGAAGGGATATAATACACAGTGTCAACATCCCTCACGAATACAAGGGGGAAAAAAGTCCTCTTTTTTGGTGGGAATTTAATGGCACAATTTACTTGTACGATAAATTTCAACAATTCAAAAGAGATTTTTTTTATATAAAAACAGTATGAAATTTTATTTTTACAATCTTCAATGCCCCATACTACCCCTATCATTACACAGGACTGCCCCCCTTATACTACCCACATCATAATACATCATTACACAGGACCCCCTTCCCCATACTACCCCATCATTACACAGGACCCTCTCACCAATGCTACCCCCCATCACTACACTGGACCCCCTCCCCCATACCACCACCCTATCATTACACAGGACCCCCTCCCCAGTGGTGTATTTAGTTTATATGCTGTCCTAGGCAACACTAAAATTGGGCGCCCCCCACCCCACTAGCAACCCCTCCCACCTCCACCACCACCATAGCCCATCACTGCAATCTCACCCCTATCTCCCTGCCGCCTCCACCCTCTGTTGCCACCAACCAACACACATCCCCCACTTACCCCCCTGCCGCAACCACCTGATTCATGGACTGACTTTAACATCTGCAATGAAAGAAGCAGCCAGCCATCCCCGCACCCTCCAGCAGCATGCAGCCTCCTCCTAATCTCTTGGTGGAGCTGACCAGGTCTTCATCCTTGTCACTTGTTTCCCTTCTGAAAATTGCTGCCCTAGGCAAGCACCTCTCATGGTAAATATGACACTACCCCTCCCCCATTCTACCCCCATCATTACACAGGACCCCCTCCCCCATACCACCCCCTTCATTACACAGGACCCTCCTCCCCATATTACCCCTATCATTACACAGAACCCCCCCCCCCCATACTACCCTCAATATTACAC